CCTACGTGTCAGTCTCAGCGCCGGGCCCCTCCTCCCATGGTTCTTGGCAACGCTGGCTCCTCCCTCTTCCGAGGAGGCGAGTTCCATTTCTTTTGTTGTGCTATCACCAGTTAAGTCTTTTGCACCCCTTCAACCTCATCCCCACTGCCCCTACTCTGTAAGTAGCAATTATAGTTTTAAATTTCCTTAAAAATCTCATTCCATTAAGGGGACATTCCCCTAATATGCCACCGAGCTTGTTGAGTGGAATTGAAGGATAGTAGAGTTTCCAATTTTCTAACTAGTCCCTTATCTGCTTCACGCTAAAGCAATTTTTGATAACTCCATTGCGCTCTAATTTTCCAAATTTATTGTCTTAATTTCTTCTGCTAATGACAGAGTTTAAATGAGTTTAATAGCACAGCCATTTCACATTAATGGCACAGAGGCATCGTTAATTTCATACTTCTCTTCCCTGGTGGATAGGCTCATTTTTCCTCCGTTCTTCCTTTCCCTGGCCTCCAAAGACAGCATTTGAGAAGCTCTTCTTACTCTCTCCAGTACCCCCGTTGCCTTGGACGGGGAGGTTTAGTAGTGAAAACACCAGGCTCAGAGCCAGGAGCCAGACATGCAGCGCCGGCCGGTGCTCGGCCAGCGTCGAGGTGCTGGGCCAGGCACTGACCTTCTCTGGGGCTCAACTTTCTTGCCTGGTAAAGCTAAGGGGTTGGATTTAATATCTCATTTCTAAGATTTGTCATTTTTCCTTTGTGTCTAGAACAGTCCAGGAATAGTAAGGAGATAGAAATCATACCAGTTATTTGAAAAGAGAGACTTTAATATAAAAAATTATTAACTGGGTAAGTGAAATGGTTTTGAAAAGTATCGCTGAGGTAGCATCTACCAGCCCTAGGGCTGGGGAGATAAAGGGAAGAGATTGGGATGATTATAACTTAGAACTGCAGAAAAGGGGCCCCATGAAGCTGCACTCAGATCTCTGGAGAGAGGCACGGGCTGGCTGGTGCAGGTGCAGGAGGGCAGGGTGGGATGCAGTGTGGCCTCTGCTGGTTGAACTCAGCCGCTGCCGTGGAAAGACACCGCTGCTGCCCAGGTGAAACCTACAGGAAGGGAAAGCACAGGTCCCTTCCTCCTTCTCCAGCCTTGAAGCCTCCCTCTAGTGCCCCCTATTGGCAGAGCCCGGCAGGGAGCAGCTGGCAAAACACACATGGGATCTGTGGGCCAAGTCGGGTCTGGAAGGGAGGCTTTGGAGCTGAGAGATAACAGCTGAGTAACTGGCACAGTGTTCATTGCTGAGATTGCAAACCGGTAGCCTAGAAGCCACTTTTGGCTCATAAACATGTCTTGTGTGGCCTTCAGTAGTTTAATCAAACATTTGTGTCTGGGCTTTTAATCTAAATATCTTCTTTCTGGAAAATTCACAGAACTTCGTCTTTCTTGATTTACATTTTTTAAAAAGATAAATGAATGAGAAAGCAGCTTGGGGATTGTCAAATTCAGTCATCAGTTTACAAATCAGATGGTTAAGACCCTCTCAGAAGGTGAGAGGTTTATCTCTTGAATCATACAACTAGTGAATAAGATCTGTGGGTTCCAAGGCTAAGCTTCCGGTCAGTACCCCTCGCTGCGTTTACAGCAGGACGGATGTGCTCTGCATAGCCTCTTACCATTCAAAATGTGGTTCCTGGCCCGCAGCACCAGTCTCACCTGTGAGCTTGTTGGAGATGCAGACTCTCAGGGCCCAGCCCACACCTGTTGCATCAGAATATGGGTTTAACAAGATCCCCAGGTGATTTGTGTACACAGTTAAATTTGAGAAGTGCTGAAGATAGCTTTATTGAAGTAAAAAAAATAAATAAACTTTTATTGGATGCTCGTGTTTTACTCTAGGGTGGGGCCAGGGTATGGGGTATAGAGATTGGTTCCCAGCAAATCTCTAGACCACTCCTCTAACTCTCTCCCCCTTTCTCTCTTCCCAAGTCATAGATCCACACACGTGCATGCAAACACGCGTGTGTGCACACACAACCACACACGCATGCAGCCATACACATGCATGTTCTCTCTGTCATTCACACGTACAGAGCTGTTTATGATCTGGCCTCTGTCCTGCCTCCACCCTGAATCCCTCTTCAGGTTTCCTCACATGAATGATGCTCTATTCACGGTGAACTACTTACAAGTAGTTGCCCAAACATATCAGACTTTATTTTTTGCCTCTTGCCTTTGCACTTGCTGTCTGCCACTGCCTTAATGCACTCTCCCAATCACCAAATGGAAAGCAGACTAAGTTCCATTTGTCTTTCAAGAACAGCTCAATGTCTTTCTATTGGAAGCCCTCTGACATTGAGTGAAGTATATCTAAGCTTTGCTCCTTCTCTGTGTTTTAATAATACCCGACATATACCTTCATTAAAGGCTTTTTTGCACTCATAGACAATCATTCATTTTATTGTTTATCTCCTTGAAAGGAAGGAACCCCTCCTCACTTAGCAAGCAGTCCTGGGGATGAGCAAGTGAAGAAAGAATGAACTAATGCAGTGCTGAGAAATCTGATCAATGCTTATGTATAAAGAGCAGTAAAGTGTAATAGTTAAAGCACCGTGTTGGTTTTTTGAGAAGATAAACAAAATTGACAAACTTTTAGCTAGATTAAAAAAAAAGAAGATTCAAGTAAAATCAGCAATGAAGGGGAGACATTACAGCTGATAGCACAGAAATACAAAGGATCATGAGCCTACTATGAACAATTATATTCAATAAATTGGATAACCTAGAAGAACGGATAAATTCCTAGAAACATGCAATCTACAAAAACTGAATTAAGAAGAAATAGAAAATCTGAACAGACAAATAATGAGTAAAAAGATTGAATCAGTAATCAAAAACCTCTCAACAAAGAAAAGCCCGGGGCGTAATGGCTTTACTGGTGAATTCTACCAAACATTTAAAGAAGAATAAATGCCGATCTTCCTCAAACTCTTCCTAAAATTTGAAAAGGAGGGAATATTTTGAAACATATTTTATGAGGCCAGCATCACACTGAAAACAAAGCCAGACAAGGACACTCCAAGGAAAGAAAACTACAGGCCAATATTCCTGATGTACATAGATAAAGAAATTGTCAGCAAAATACTAGCAAATTGAATTCAATGGCACATTAAGAGGATCATAACCATGATCAAGTGGGATCTATCCCTGGGATACAAGGATGTTTCAACATATACAAATCAATAAAAATGATATACTAAGACAGCAGAAATGTAAATCATATGATAATCTCAGAAGATTTATTCTTGGGATACAAGGATGTTTCAACATATGCAAATCAGTATGTGATATACCACATTAACAGAATGAAGGATAAAAATCATATGTTCATCTCAATAGATGCAGAAAAAGCATTTAACAAAATTTGACATCCTTTTATGATAAAAACTCTCAACAAATTAAGTATAGAAGGAATGTACCTCAACACAATACAGCAAGCCCACAGCTGACATCATACTCAGTGGTAAAATGCTGAAAGCTTTTCCTCTAAGATCAGGAATGAGACGAGGATACTCATTCTTGCCACTTCCATGCAGCACAGTACTGGAAGTCCTAGCCAGAGCAATCAGACAAGAAAAACAAATAAAAGGCATTCAAATCAGAAAAGAAGAAGTAAAATTGTCTCGGTTTGCAGATGACATCTTATATATAGAAAACCCACCAAAAAACTATCAGAGCTAATAAATGAATTCAGTAAAGTTGTAAGATCAAAGACCAACATTAAATAATCAGTAGCATTTCTATATACTAACAATGAACTACCTGAAAAAGAATTCAAGAAAACAATCTCATTTACAATAGCATAAAAAAAATACTTGGGAATAAATTTAACCAAGGAAGTGAAAGATCTATATATTGGAAACCATAAGACATTGATGAAAAAACTGAAGAAGAAAGATACAAATAAATGGAAAGATATTCCATGTTTATGGGTAGGAAGAATTAATATTGTTAAAGTGCCCATACTACCCAAATTGATCTACAGATTCAAAGCAATCCCTTCAAAATTCCAATGGTATTTTTCATAGAAATAGAAAAAAATCCTAAAATTCATATGAAACCACAAATGACTTGAATAGCCAAAGCAATCTTGAGTAAAAAGAACAAAGCTACTGGTATCACAATACCTGCTTTCAAATATACTACAAAGCTATAGTAATTTTTAAAAGCACAGTACTGGCATAAAAACAGACATATAGACCAATGCAACAGAATAGAGAGCCCAGAAATAAAATCACACATTTGTGGCTAATTGATTTTCGACAAATGTGCCAAGAATATGCAATGGGAAAAAGACAATCTCTTCAATAAACGACATTGGGAAAACTGGATATCCACATGCAAAGGAATGAAGTTATACCCTTATCGCACACCATTAACAAATTATGCTACATTCCCCTCAGAAGTTGGAACATTGATTATGGTTTGAAAAAAGTCCTTCTCGGGTGGCAATAGGATAGCCAGCCTTGTTAGCAATTGCTGTTTTTCACTTGACCATGTTCTTCCTTCCCTACATTTCCCATACCTGCTTTGCCACACTTTACCCTGGAAATTCTCTCCTTAAACATAATCCTTCAGGTAGGGGCTTTTGCAGCACAAACACTTTTCTTGCTTAAAAATGAAATTACAGCATTTCCCTTGTGTGTAGGTTATTCATCTAAAGAAGTAGTCTTTAAGAAAGGTGCATCTGTTCCAGTTTTGTTTGATCTGTGTAGTCTGTGTATGTGTTGGTAAATCTGGTGAGGCTATTTTTAGAAAAAAATAACATTGGTAAAAAGTCACATTTATATAGCACTTCTAATTTGCCCCAAACATCTTATCACATTCCACCTTTTTTGTCTACGACACGGAATTTACAGGATATGTGAAAATGAGCATTGGATTTTCGAAACATCAGGTAGTTTTTAATCTCTTGTCTTCTCTCTCCATTCTCTCCTTCTCTCCCCTCCTCTCAGGGATGATAGTCTACCTAGGAATGATGGCGGGAGCCTTCATCTTGGGTGGCTTGGCTGACAAGCTGGGAAGGAAGAGAGTTCTCAGCATGTCTCTGGCCATCAATGCCTCCTTTGCCTCCCTCTCCTCCTTCGTGCAGGGATATGGAGCCTTCCTCTTCTGCCGACTCATCTCAGGCATAGGGTACGTACTTGGAGAGCTTGGGCCGGGCCTTCCTAGACTGGTGGTCCCTCCATTCTGGTGCTCTAGCTCTGAGTGGTGCCTCTAGAAACCCTGGGGCTGAGTTTTTTGTTTGACTTTCAAGATACTATATCCAAGTGGAAACTTACAAAGGGTTAGGGTTATGATTAGGCTCTAAAATTAGTATATAAAGTAAAAATAATCTAAGACTGCCTCCCACATGTAGACAATGGCCTGGCCAGTCTCTCAAATTCATTGGGTTGTTTTACCACAGAGCCTAGGGGTGGGGTATGAGGCAACTTGGTTTCTGCTGTATCCATTTTTAGTGTGTAAGTTGATTCTTTCTCTCTGGCATTTTCTCTCTTTAGTATTGGGGGTGCTCTGCCAATTGTTTTTGCCTATTTCTCTGAGTTCCTGTCTCGGGAGAAGCGAGGAGAACACCTCAGTTGGCTGGGCATCTTCTGGATGACTGGAGGCATCTATGCGTCGGCTATGGCCTGGAGCATCATCCCCCACTACGGTGAGCCGCTGGCTTAAAATAGCCAAATAGCCCGGGCCCCTGTGTCTACAGCACCTGTACCCTAACTGCTTTTCCTGCCCTCAGGCTTATTCTGTATACTCACACACAGTTCCTGTATGTGATCTTGCTCTTTCTAAAGAACTTCTAACACTGTAGACACATTGTCAATTTTAATACATGACAATTTGGAAAAATATAGTCTGTTCTCCCTCTTTCCTTTCCTCCTTCCATTCCTTCCTCTCTTCCTCTCTCCCTTTCTTTTTTCCTTCCTTTTATTTGAAAGAACCTCAACCTTCATCTCCTCCAGCTCTCCTCCCTCAGCTAGTTAGGCTTTGGCAACTCCATTTTATAGGTGATGGACATAACAAAAGCCAAGAGCAGGTGGTGACTTGCTCGAGGCCATGCCCCTGGCATGGGGTGGCATAGGAGTAGAGTACTGACGCCCTCTTGGGTGCAGTATGCTTGTGCACTTTCTGCTCTAGTAGCTGCCGACACTCTTGTTTGGCTGCAGAAATGGAGCAGCCCTTATAGACATGGTTTCAGCAGGACAATTTTATTATCCTGGATAATTGTAAAACTGTGTTCTCTTGGACAGAGACCTGGCAACATTAACTCTTACTAGTGGTCTTGTCAAGAGCAAAGTGGGGAGAAGGCATTAGTTTTGAATTTGATTATGCTTTTTGAGTATACTGAGTAATACCATCATCATCCTTCAAGGTCATTTTTGGGAAACCATGAATTCTGAGTCTAGGCTCTGCCATGATTTAGAATCCTGTAGACCACTAGGTGGTAGTAGACAACTGTCCCCGAAGCTAACCAACACCTCTCTACTTGTTCATCCTTAGATATGACCCTCGCTGCTGTGTGTTCTGAGCTAATGGAGGCTCTACCTATATTGTTTTTTTTTTTTTAGAGACAGGTTTTCCCTCTGTTGCCCGGGCCAGAGTGCAGTGGTGTCATCGTAGCTCACTGCAACTTCAAATTCCTGGGCTCAAGCCATCCTCCTGACTCACTCAGCCTCCCAAGTAACAAGGACTACAGGCACTCACCAGCACACTTGGCTAATTTTTAAATTTTTAAATAGAGAGGGGGTTTTGCTGTGTTGCCCAGGCTGATCTTGAATGCCTGGGCTCAAGTGATTCTCCTGTCTTGGTCTTCCGAAGTGCTGGGATTATGGGCATGAACTACTGTACCTGGCCTTCACATATATCTTTTTAGGAAGAAGCTTTGGTGTGTAGACAGTATCTACTGTGTTGGTTAAGGTGATACTGGGTGCATTACCCTGATAAACTGATAAACCCTGAAATCTCAGTGGTTTTGTACAATAGAAGTTTCTCAGTCATGTAAAGTCTGGCTGGTGTTTCTGATCTGAATGGTTTACATATACTTCCTTCCTGGTCCCTGGATCTGGGGGTGGGGTCAGTCCCACCTAAAGCACATGTCTGCAACACAGCGGGGAAGAAAGGGCAGGAGGATGTTGTGAGGAGAGCTGGCAACCCACAATAGTCACAACACTACACACACACAAACACACACTATTGTGTAGCTGTCTGATTTCTAAGAAAGCAATACAAGAATTCGATTGGGAGCATGTTGACCAAGACGAATGGGATGCCCATGGCAGAGAGGCCACGTGGCTACTGGCTGACCACTGTGGGCTGACAGCAGAGCTTATGTTTTACCCCAAATAGACAGGACATGTCCCTATTTGTATACCTGTATGAAATCTGAGACTTTGACACTCTTTTAAAATAGAAGCCTCCCACATGATCAGGCTTAATTGAAGTAGCCATTAGCTTGGGGAAACCCATCCTAGAAATACGGTGACTAGAATCAGGGTGTAACAAGAGCCGTTATTTATTTTAAGCCTCATTTTACCAGGACCAGATGTTTGGTCCACAGTCAACCAGACATTTGATGATATTTCTCAAAGTACCCAAGACATTAATCCTCTAACAAATGCAATTGTAACTACAGAAAGGAGACTGAAGTTTGTGTGTACAGCTTGTGTAACCCATTTAATTGCTTTTGCAAAAATGAAGGGATGGGAGGTCTTGGCACCAGAAATTTGGGTAACTGACTCATTGAGAAAGAAAATTACAAAGCTTGGAATGTTTTCCTGAGAACTCACAGGCACAGCCCAGAAAAAAAATGGATATATTATGGAAGATTAATTCCCACTGTAGTCAGCACCACCAGCTGTTTGTGAAATCCTGACAGAGAAAAAGTAGGGCAGGCTAAAAGATCAGTAAACAGAACAATCCCTGCCTCCAAATTAATATTGTTCCAAATATTTGGAAGCAGCATACCATTTAATTTTATTCAATTTAGGGTCACAAGGATGTGCTTAATGAATGTGATAAATTCAGATTATTGAAATCACCAATAAAAACCATAGAAGCATGAGGCAATGCTGAATTTTGGAAAATTTACACATGTCATCATAAAGCAAAAAAATCATTTTGAGGCCAAATACTTTATAAACATACCTGTTTCTGCCCCCCTGCCCTGGTTATCCATCTGAGTTTGATTGCTGTGTAGTTTTGATCAACCCAACTTCCGATGATGCCAGAATACTTTTCACACATGGGCAGAGAACGTGTAAATATTACTATGGTTTTCTCTTCCTCTTTCTAGTGTTACTCCCAGGAGAAAGCAAAGGCTTTTTAATTAAGATTAAAACGAACAAACAAACCCCAGTGAGATGAGAAGAGACCAAGCTGTGCAAAAAGAGATTTGATTCCGGTTGAGAGTGTTGGATGAAGTGTATGTTCTGTTGCTGTGGCCAACTGTGTCCACATGGACACGGTCCCACATTTTCCCACCTGGGATCCCTCTGCCTAGTCCTTTAATTGTACAAACAGAGTAGAAAATATCTGCAGCAGCAGCAGATACGAGTTAGGAGTCCATTCCAAGGTGAACAAGTTGAACCACAATGGGGAGTAATAAGAATTCAAGACCTAAGCGCTCGCCACTGGAGTTGGCCATGTGGTATGTTTTCTAAGGAAATGAAATAGAAATTTTATATCCAGATAGTTATTACCCTCTAAACTGTATAAGTTTTTATATGTATTTATATAGCTATGTCTTTTAAAAAATACCGTTTGAATTGCCTTCAGAAATACTTTAGTGGCATTAAGAGAACCAGCCTATTTTATAACCTCAGCTTTAAAAAAAACAAACAAACAATTCTTTTGCTGATCTTTGCTGTTATTTGTTTTATTCAACATCATTGGCACTAAATGCCATTGTAGCTATTTCTAAAAATATCAATTCTACCCTGAAAGCAAGCGAATTATTATGGGTTGCCAGCAAATCTGTGGAGGTATCATTACCTGCATTCTGCTGCTGTGAACACCCACCGACACAATAATGATGTAGGAAAGTCAGGATGTGGAACTCTGATCTAGGTGATGGCAAAAATCCAGGCTCTTTCCACTGTGTTACTTACAAGAGGAAAGTTTGCTACCCATGGGGATATTCAAAATAATGTTTGAATGTAATTTCTGAATATGAGTTTTAGCTATGCTTCGAATAATGACAGCTAAATGGAAGCTAGTTACCTCCCCATTCCAATGATGGTGGGCTGCATTTGAGTGTACAAGTCGAGTTTCTTATAAAAAAATTTATGTAGTTGCATTATGACTTATAGTATTTCTCAAAGTGTGGTCCTGAACCCTTTGCACTGGAATCACCTAGAGCTGGTATCGCCCTCTGTCCTGGGAAAGAGGGAGCCCTCCCTACTCCGGCCTTCCTCGAGCTGCACCCTTTCCTATGAGGCAGGGGTTCCTGGGGCCATGACCCTTCTCTCCACCTCCATCCACATCATGCTCTGGGTTGCTCAGGACCCAGAAATTCCCATAAACTCAAGGGATCTGACGAGTGTGCCCGTTCTCACCATGGTGGCTTGTGGTGTCGCCACACATGTGGCCCTCACCCTACAGGAGGGGATGGGGAGGGAAAAGAGGGGAGTCCGGCAAGGGTGGGTATAATTCTGGGCCTACCTTCTAGCTTTTTATTTGTCAAGGGAGGTGGATAGCACTTCTTTTATTTAACAGTTTGTTAACTTGTAATGGCTCTGTAGAAATATGGAATGTTGCTTCTATTTGTACTCATAGCCAAGGCTCTGTAGCTGTCAGGCCAGGGCTGAATCCAGGGATTCATTAGAATGCAGATTCCCAGCTCCTATTGCAGACTTAGGACTCTTGGAGATGCAGCTGGGGGAGTCTACATCTTAACCGGTTCCCCAGGCGCACTCTTGTGTCAAGTGTGCGAGCCAGGGCTGCAGAGGTACTCTTCTGCAGAGGAAAAGAGCATGTTCCAGAAATCCTCTGACTGCTTCTTCACAGGCTGGGGCTTCAGCATGGGGACCAATTACCACTTCCACAGCTGGAGAGTGTTCGTCATCATCTGCGCTCTGCCCTGCACCGCGTCCATGGTGGCCCTCAAGTTCATGCCGGAGAGCCCGAGGTTTCTGCTCGAGGTGAGTCCGTGCCTCCCTGCCTGCGTGAGAGTGACGAAACAGCCACAGTCCCAGTCCTAGTCCCACGTCCTCTCCTGCCTGCACGTTGCTCCCCCAGGTGGGCCAACCTCCCTCATCATGAAACCTGGCTCTGTTTCTGCTGGTGGTGGTCGCAGGTCATGGATTCATGGACAGCACCGGGGGCCCAGGCGAGACAAAACAGGGGTGTGGTGCGGTGCTGGAGGGCGGCTCCAGAGTGGCCTCGTGATGCCCATTCTCCCTGGAGGGCCTGATTAGGAGGCTCTTTAAGGCTGCATGTGCGCTGTCTGCCCATGTGCCTGCAGTGAGATCCGTGGTGCAGCTCAATGCTGCTCCCAGGCCCTTCCGGACTGTAGCCATGCAGGGCCCTGAGCCACCAGAAAGCTGCACCCGGTGTCCTGAGCCTGCCACCTGCGGGGATGTCTCGTGCTTGCAGAGGTCAGGCAGGACAGGGGCTGGCACAGGGGCAATGGGATTTAGAGGCTTTCACAGCCCCAATCTGCAGAGCCCACCTGTCTGCCTCCTTCTTGAGCTTTCCGCAGAGTGGTCCTCCTTGCTGAATTTCCTCTGTCACCCCCTGACCGGGAGTTGTGCACCTTTTGCTGTGTGTGAATGTCCTAGAGCTGCTGTAACAAAGTACCACAAATTGAGTGACTTAAGATAACACATTTTTCTGCCAATTTCTGAGGTTAGAAGTCCCACACCAAGGTGGCAGCAGGGCCATGCTCCTTCCGCAGCCTGTGGGGGAGAATCCGTCCTTGCCCCTTCCCGGTGCTGGCGGTCTGCTGGCAAGTTTTGCCGTTCCTGGGCTCGCAGCCGCTTCACTCTGATGGCGGCCCTGTCACGTGGCCTTCTCCCTGCGGGTCTCTGTCTTCACCTGGCTGTCTTCTCACAAGGACACCAGTCGCATTGAATTAGGGCTCCACCCTACCCCAGTATGTCCTTGTCTTAATTTAACTAATTACACCCGCAGCAGCCCTGTTTCCACAGGAAGTCACTCTCTGCGGGACTGGGGGTTCGGACTTTCGCATACCTTTTTGTGGTGGGGATGGGATTCAGCCCCTAGTATGTTGCTTTTTGCTTCATCTCATCAGCACGGAACGTGGCTCTCACCCCAGTCCATTCGACTCACAACTGCGGGTGGTTACTCAGTGTGGCATGATGGTATTAATAATACCTGGCATTTATATCTTGAATGCACAACTTTATTAATTTTCCAAGAACAGCTGGGGACAGAAACTTGTCCTAGTCTTTCACAAGCCCTAGACAGCAGTGAGTCCACGTCCAGTTTCCTCACTGCTGGGTAATGGCATTCCCCTTGAGTTTGTAGGATTTTCCACCCCCTAATGAATAGAAGGCACGTTCAATGGTGACTTTTTCCCATCTCTTCCCTTGATCTCACCAGATGGGCAAACATGATGAGGCCTGGATGATTCTCAAGAAAGTCCATGACACCAACATGAGGGCCAAGGGGACCCCAGAAAAGGTGTTCACGGTGAGTGTGGGGCCGTCTGCACCAAGAAGAGGGTGTTCTCTCTATTGTTTTGGTTTGCTAAAAAAAGAGAAAAAAAAACTTATTATATAAACACATAACAGAAAATTTGTCAAAAACGGAACAAAACCTTTGCTATTCCTATCACATTATCATAATTATTCTTTGCATTTTGATGGATATTCTTCTAGGTTTTCCCTTAGGTAGCTAATTGTTAAAAAATGAAAAACTAGCTATATTCACATGGGGATGAGCATAAATACATAGATTTACATAAACATTATGTAATGGTACAGTACTCATAATCGTCTTATATGTTGTCTCATAGTATTCATAACCATCATTTTAATGAACATTAATGTTAGGAACATTAACACAGTTTTCCTGGACGTATCTCTAATGTTAGAGGTTTATTTACCCAGTTTTAGTACGTTGTTCCTGTAGATATTTTGGAATGAACCTTCTCATGCACATAGTTCCTTCTTCTTCATGTTCTAGGTTTGTTTTCTGAGAGTCGACTCCTAGAAATAAAATTACTTGCTCAAAGAGTGTGGATATTTTTATGGCTCTTGAGATATGTTGCTGAATTACATTTTAATAGGGTTGTACCAGTCTACAGTGTCACAAGCAATAGGGGGCCCGTTTCTCTACACCCTTACCAGCATTGGCTATTAGTCTGAATTTTGTTTCTTGCTAGTTTAAAAACCTGTAAATGGTAGTTTTCGTGAAGATGTTCTGCTAGGTACAGAGATGCTGTGTTCCTGCCTGCCATGCCCTGGCCAACTGGAGGCTATAGCCACCTCTGTGTACCTGTTTCTATAACTTGCTTTAAGTTCAAATCTATTTCCTCAAGGAAACCTTTTTGGATTCGCTCCCACCTACCTTCGATTCACTGCTTTTGATTCTTTGGCTTCCATAATTCCAGTCTTGAGTGAAACATTTGCCCTTGTTAACCTGTTGGTTAACGCCACTGATTCTCAGGTAGAACACATGGTGGCTAAGCTTCTGCACCCTGGAGCCAGGCAGTCGGGGTCCACATCCTGGTTTTGATACTTTCTAGCTGCGTGCACTTAGGCAAGGTTCTCTCCGTGCCTCAGTTTCCTCATTGGGAAAAGAGGGATAATAATATCTAAAAGTATGGCTGTTGTAAGGATTAAATAAAACACCTAAAACACTGCCTGACTTGGAATAAGTGCCATGAATATATTAACTGTTATTTAAAAATATTATGACATATTTTTCCATAAATTAACTCAACTTAAACTTTTATGGAAAATCACTTGATGGCATATTTCCTCAATTCTAATCCTCCTAAAATGCCTAAAATATGGGACCAATGCTTTTGTTGCAAACATTTATTAAGAAACATAATTAACAGAAATATTCCAAATGAAAGATGTTAAGCACCAGAATGGTTCTCCCAATCTTCCATCCCACCCAACTCTGTGATAGATTACAGTGCTACAGCTGGGCTACAGGTGTAGAAACCAGGTGTTAGGGATGGGTTTCCTGCCCCCTGGAATCTGGGTGTCCTTGGCTCAATCCTGATTTCCTCCTACCTCCACTGCCCCATCCTATTGCCTCAGGAGGACCAAGTTTCCTCCCTGAGCTCCTGCTTATTTCTGGGAGACGTGTCCGTGGTCTTCTGTCTCTGCCTCCAGGCTCTGAATCCACATCACCTGGATTGGCTTTTATACTACATCAGCAGGGCATGAGACACACACACACACACACACACACACACACACACACACACACACACACACATATATGGAGACTAGCACACTCACAGAGTGACACACACACATACCACCCATACCGAGTGTTTGGGAGTTTCTGGCCTTACTGAACATTTGAGAACAGAGGAATTAGATCAGAGAGTGCAGGCTTCTCCTTCCTTTCTCCCTGCCCCTCCTGCCCTTCTCTTTTCCTCCTCCTATTTAGTCTCTCTTCTCCTATCCTCTGCCCTCTCTCTATTCTTCTCCCTCTGGAATAAAACAGCTTCTCCTTGGCTTATGCACAAGCATGTTTCTGGTCTTTTAAGCCTGATTGTGTCTCCCTGGGATTCCTGAATACCTCAAGTAGTTATGAGCAGATTTATTCCAAACAAACACAGGCTGTCCTACAAGGCGTCCTGATAGGTCCCATTTTGCCCACCTGTCTCTGCCTTTCCAGGGTACACTGTCAGCTCTTTCTGATGCTTGTCTTACTCTGGGTCACCTTGTATGGTGGCTTCCACACAGTGGTGCTCAGCTGGGGGTTTCCCAACTTTGCCACTGGAAAGACCACTTCTAAACCAACTGAATGGGCTTCCCCTACTGGGAGCCCCTTTTTAAGAAAAGGGATCCCACATTCTTTCTTGATGACCCAGTCCAATGTGTTAAAAGATAAACTTTGGCACGTTAAAATTTTAAAGAATCTATTTGAGCAGACAGCAATTCCTGAATTGGGTAGTTCCAAACTGGGAATGGTTCAGGGCCCCATTGAAGGAGCAGGAGGAGATGGCTTTGGCAGGGTGGATGCAGAAGCAGAGCGAAGAAATTATCTGATTGGTTAAAATTTGAGCAGTTGTGTTTTTTGGACTATTCCTGTGGGAAGTTCAATATACTCAATGCCCAGTTGGCCACCTATGATTGGCCCAGCTCAAGTTCCATTTTGTTTTAAATTCTGAGTTAGGTTTTGGGTTGATTATGTAGGAATTCAGGCATTGGAGCCACCTCAGTCTAATGGCTTCCCATTTAATTATTTTAACAAGTATGAGCAGCCTGATGTTGAAGAATGAGATCTTGGCCTGGAAATCAATAAAAACTTCATGGTTCAAAGACAAAGCTAAGCCTTTTATGTTAGGACCAGGGTTCCTCATTTCAGAGAAGAAAGCACATTCCGAGGAAGTTCGGGCAGAGATCAATGAGTCGCGGCTGTGAAATGCTGGAAGTGTGTTCTATCCCAGCACAAGTGCCAGTTACGAGGTTTTGAGGTATAACTTCTGCTTTTAGTAGTTTCTACCCAGCAGGAAAAGGGAATTAAAAAGGTTACAGGTGCAGTATTCCATACCAACTCGATCCCATGAATTATGTAGAAGTACATGACTGGATGGGCCAGGAAAAGGAAAAAAAAAAAGAGAGTGACAACCAGAGAGCATTGACTGAGCTGAGAGGGCTGGCCCGCGGTTGGCAGTCAGGCCTGCATATTCAGCCCAACTCGATGGTGTTGCCTGTTTTCTTCCTGCTCAGTCCCGTCAGTAAATGGACTCACAAGTGTGCTCGGTGGCCTGGCAGAGGAGCTTAGGGAAGGCCGGAATCTCAGCTAGTGCTCACGCTAACCCGGATGCCTCGGAGAGCCTGGGTTCTAGCAACGCCCTTAGGTGCCTCAGGAGCTTCTCACCTTCCACCTGCCAGGTGTCCCCAGTGAAACCTTTGGAAAGGAAAGGAGCCTAAGTGTTCCACTGAGAACCTATGTTTTGCAGGGCTGGGGTAACACAGGCCATACTCTAATTTAAACTGAGCTAAAGACAAGTATTCTAATTAATTGCAAATTAGAGTAATTGTGCTGCTTGAAGTTGTCAACACTCCCACTCCTGAATCCCTAGAGAATAGGGTGTTATTTTTCCCTCAAGGAGCAAAGAAAGGAAAAATTTACGTTTGAGTGGATATCTTAATGCTTTGGGCTGTGATTTTTAAGGTGCTTCAGGACTCGGTGTCAGCTTCTCCGTCTGGCCTCCTTTGGCTGTGACTGAGGTTTGTAATAACCGTGGGGTATCGGATAACTTGCAGCCCAGCTCCAGCCAAGAGTCTACTGCAGAGCCTGCTGTGTTGTAACTGGGGACGGGAGGATGGTGAGTCCATGACGCTCACAGCGTGATTACGTATGTGAAATTCCAGGGAAGAGAGCTTATGCTTTTACCAGACTCTCAAATATGTGCCTGGCCCTCCCAGATGTTTCAGAACCACTGTTTTCAGGGTTTAGAAAAGCACAGCCATGCTGTCTTAGACCTAGTGCGCGGGAAATACCAGTCCATGTCCACGTCCAGGGACTGTTTTTCTCTGCGTGGATCGTCCAGCCCCATCTTTGTTCCTCTTCCTTTGTCTCCTCACATTCTCAGTCCTTTGGCTGAAGAAAGAGATGGAGACACTCAGATGACTCATTTTTATCCCTAGAGAAAAGGTTTGTTGGAGTTGGTGATGGAAACTGTTTTGAATTCTTTTTGAGTATGCTCTTTCATTTCTTTTATGCATTAGAGGAGAATGTCCGTAAACGTGGACCTTCATAACTAAAAGAGTCTCTGTGACCAGGAATATCCTTAAGTAGGTGATTGGTTGTGCAATTTGATGGTTGCTTTACACATTTGACTAACTGGAAAATCATTGTCTAGGTGATCTGGGATCACTTACTGGGGCTACGCACACTGGGCATATTAACCCTTTCCACGCCTTGAGGGGAACGCGGAGATCTGCGACCTTATCTCCACCCCCTATCTCTTTGATTTCTACCAGGAAAACCAGGAATAGCAGAGAGGCCTTGATTTCTCTTACTCTCTTGTGTTTTTAAAATATCTTAAGTAGCAACCCCCCTTCCCCACACTACTGCCTATGTGGGCTCTAGACTTCTGTGACGTTAATATCCATTCTGGATAGAGTTGTGAATTTTAAGGTGGCATCAACTCTACTGTGGGCAAATCAGATATAAATGGGAATTTGGTGTGTTATGGACCCACTAGTGTAAGTTTCCCAAAGGCATGATTTAGTGAGAAGATTCTTATTCGTTTTGTCTGCAGTGTGACGTATCTACCTGAGAAAGATCACTAAGAGATGCTATGTACACCTTTGGTTAAGAAACAAGGAATTAGAAGGTCATCAAAGACTCCACCAACCCTAAGTTAATATAGTCAGTTACATTCAACTAAACATTGAAAAGGAAATTCTGAGACAAAGTGGGGTTAAGATTCTTTCGCCTATCTTTGCTTTTCAGGTTTCCAACATCAAAACTCCCAAGCAAATGGATGAATTCATTGAGATCCAAAGTGCAACAGGAACTTGGTACCAGCGCTGGCTGGTCAGATTCAACACCATTTTCAAGCAGGTATGATGGGGAAGATGTGTTGGATGAGAGGGTGGCTCTATGGGGGTCTGTAACCTTAGTGGATGAAGAACGAAGACTATGAACACCTCCATCCACCTAAGGCAGCATGCTATCAAGAAAGTACCACGGGCAGGGTGTCTGGGTGCCAGCCCCTGTCTGCCCCTAACTCTCTAGCAATTTCTATTTAAATAATCCATAGGAAGGAAGAGATGAGTGAAATGAACATCCCCTCGAGGTTTCGTTAGTGATTCCTGAGAAAGATTCTTCATGAAGGGCAATGCCGTTTCTCTGGAGCACTGGCTCCTACAGGCAGGGAACAAGTCAACTGTCGAGCATGTGGGCAACCCACCGGCCAGAGTCTGTTGAGACTGGATGGTATTCACGGCACCTGGTCAATAAATGTTTGGAACATCACCCCTGCCCACAGGCAGGGAGCAGAACTCAATGTTCGAGGTTTTTCAGTGCCTTGAAATTCTAACTCAGTGTGCTTTCAGCTACATTCATGGAATATTGTGTCCCTGGGGAAAGTGCTATCAGACTCTGAGAGTATGAGGCCAGCCAATAGGAAGAGTAGAGCTCCTCTTGTTATTTGGATAGAATTGCTACCCCTGGGAGATAATTGGGTGAGAACCCATTCTCTCTATGGGTTCCTAGGCAACGTATCAGAAAATCTGAGAAATAAGCTCTTTCAAGTCGCACGTTCCCGCCTTTAACAGTCCTTCTCTGGCTTGGGTTATAGGTGTGGGACAATGCTCTGTACTGTGTGATGGGGCCCTACAGAATGAACACACTGATTCTGGCCGTGGTCTGGTTTACCATGGCTTTAAGGTAAGTTCTCTCTTACTTAAGTTCCTTAATTTCCCTGTGCCTCAGTCGCCTCATTTATACCTTGCAGATTGCAACTGGCTCTAACTCATGGAGTTTGTATCAGATTGGATGCTTTAGGCTGCAAGTAACTGGCAACCTATTCTAGGCTTCTACCAGAAGGAAACTTCTTATCCTTTGTAACAGAAATTCTGTAGAGAGGCAGGAGTTTCTGCCTGAGGCTTGTTCTCATTGTGATTGTAAGATGCTGGTGCTATTCTAGGTGTCCCTTGAGGTGGGAAAATTATTCCATGCAGAAAGAGGCCGCCTCTCCCTGAGGTTGCTTTTTTTATTCCTCCCATCTTTATTGAGGTATAATTGCAAATACATGTGATATATATTCAAGGTATATAACTTGATATTTTGATGTGCACAAACATTGTGAAGTAATGGCCACAATTGAGCTAATAAACATATCCATCACCTCACACAGTTACTATTTTCTTGTGTGTGTGTGTGTGTGTGTGTGTGTGTTTTGAGAACATCTAAGATCTACCTTCTTAACCAATTTCAAGTAGGCAATCCAACATTGTTAACTGATTGTTAATTGCTAACTAATTGCTATTGTTAATTAATCGTTAATTACTGAGCTTCCTTTTTAACACCAAGGAAACCTCTTTCAGAAGCTCCACAGCCAACTTGCTCTCCTGTTATACCAGCCAGATATGTGTGTCACATTCTTTTAGCCAAACTAATCCCTGGCAAAGGAGATGGGATGACCCAGTGGTTTTGGACTAATCAGTATTCACCTCAGTGCTAAAGATACTGGTTCCTTTCTCGAGGGTGGATCCCTGAATAAAATCAAGTTCCTGTTCACCAGGAGGAAGCAGGGAATGAGTACCGAGTAGGCAGCCGTCATATTACATAGATGAAACAGCAAAGCTCTGCAGTACTGTGCCCTACAATAGAGAAAACTAAGATATAATACAATTGGAGATTAGCAGGCTCTCACCCCATCACTTCATTAACCTCCAAATAACATGATTCTTCTTTTTATGTGAGTTTGGGGGCCCACTTATGGCATTATGGGGCTGTTTTACTGCATAATTATAAAGTGCTTATGATAGTTTCTGACACATAATAAGTGCTCAATAAATTGGTATTATCAGCTAGGAACTATTTGTAAGATTTGAAGCTTCCATCTATGAAATTGCTTTGTTCACCACTGTCTGTGCCCAAAGACACATTCTGTCACCACAGGAAATTTAATGGGCTCTAATGATCTCTTTCTTTGTGTGGGAAAACACAGGAAGGCAGAATGTCTTCCAGTACCTATTCATGCAGACCTGACCTTCCAGACCCAAACAGGTAAAGGTGTGAAGGGAGCTTCCCTCCACTCATTCAATCCAAACTAGGGGAGAACATTTCAGACACCAAATATGGCAGACACTAGGATTCAATTCGCTGACATTTTTTTTTTTTTGAAAAAAATGTGTTTTATTTGTATTTATTTATGTTTAATTTTGTGGACCAGGTAATGCATTTCAGATGTTGAAACAATGGAGAAATCTGGCATCAATCCCTTCCCCCTCCACTCATTCCCTTCTGCTTCCTATACGTAGACATCTTTTATTTTCCTATTTACCATTCAGTGATGCTTTTTTTTTTGCTAATGTAAACAAGTAATTATATACACATTCTTATTTCTTCCTCCTTTTCTTATTCAAAGGAACACATTGTTTTGCATCTGCTTTTTGCACTCACCGATATATTCTGGAGATCTCTCCATATTAGTAAATTGAGATTTTCCTCATTGAATTACAGCAGCACAGGATATCTGCATAGCACCCCATGGGACAGCGCCACACTTCATTCAACCAAGGCCTTACTGCTAGACTTTTGAGACGTTTCCAGACTCTTCCCATTGCAAACCATGCCACAATAAGTAACCGTGTTTGTAGGCCACTTTGTATTTGGGCTGGTTTATCAATGGAATAGATTCCTAGAAGTGGCATTAAGGGAGCAGAGGGGGTAAATCTACCAGCAATTTTTTTTTTGGCCCTGACGAAATTCTTCCCCACATGGTATTGTACAAATTTGCTCTTTTCCCAGTGATGTATGAGAGCGTGTGTTTACCTACACTCTCACCAACGAAGTGTTTTTAACAAACTTCGAGGTTTTAATAATCCGGTAGGTGAGAATGGTAACAGTGTGGTTTTAATTTTCACTTTTCTTATAAGTGAGATTGAGCATCTTTTTTATATGTTTAATGTCTCTTTTTTTGGAATTGGTTTGTCTAGAGTTTTTTTTAGATATAAAATCATATCATCTGCAGATAGAGATGATTTTACTTCTTGCTTTGCAATTTTACATTTCTGCATGCTTTTTCTTGTGTGCCTGAGTTGGCTGAGACCTACAATACAGTGTTAAATAGTAGTGGTGATAATGGGCATCTTTGTCTTATTCTCGACATTAGTGGGAATGTCTTCAGCATTTCCCTATTCACTAACATTCTGGGCTGAGATGTATGTTTTTATGTGTTAAGGAAGTGTCCATCAATTCCTAATCTATTGTTATTTTTATCAAGAATGAATTTTTTTTTTATCAGCTGCCTTTTTAGCATCTATGGAAGTGGTCATGATTTTTTTCCTTAGACCTATTAATGTGATGAGTTATATTATTAAATTTTCTAATAATGAACCAAATTACCATGCTTAAAGTGAGTTTGGTCTACATGAAATTAAGAACATAGACTCTGGTCATAAAAGAATTAATCATGTTGTTGCTCCAACATTCTGTCTTCTCTATTACAGTTACTACGGACTGACAGTTTGGTTCCCTGATATGATCCGGTATTATCAAGATGAAGAATACAAGTCTAAAATGAAGGTATTTTTGGATGAGCACGTGTATGGTGCCACAATCAACTTCACCATGGAAAATCAGATCCACCAACGTGGGAAACTTGTGAATGATAAGTAAGTGAGTGACCACGGGCTTTCCTCAGATCAGGGTGACAGTTCCCAGGACTGTTCTTGGGAGAGAGCCATTCGAAAGAGAAGAATTAACTATGCAGGGGAATGAGCTCCAAGGCTGTTGTAGTCATCACAGCTGACTGTGGCTGCCAGAGACACAGCAGCTCCCCTGGTGGCCGTATCTGTATGGTGCTGACTCCCTGTTACCCTGCTCTCCTGGCGGCAGCTAATTCATCAAGCATGGAGACATTCGACTGAAGACAGCCAATCTAGCCATCTTTCCCAAGAACTTGAGCTTTTAATGGAAATTAGCAGAAAGCATGTTCCATTAATGGCGTCTGCCTAAAGGAAGAGCCCAGAGCTCTTACTGCTGAGGTCCCTGAACCAATCCATGACCTGGGTGTTAAGTTTTTTCTTTGATTCTGGAAGTTTCTCTATACCAGGGCTAATATGGCATCACCTGTTGTTATTCTTTTAGCTAATATTACTTTGGAGGGCTGATCATGCTGATCCATGGTCAGCCAGGAGTGTTTTTGTCCTTTGGAGAAAAAAATCAGTGGAGTATTAGAGAAGTCCTGTTTGCATCTTTGTGGGGCTGCTTCCTCAATCCGTTTTACTCCTCTTCTTCGTAGTCCTGAGACAAAGGAGATGGACAGTCTCTTGTAGGCTGCCCTCTGAAAGCCTGAGAATGGGTCAGGGAAGGACATTAGCCAAGTTTGCCACAGGCCACATTGTTCCCTAAGCCGAACATTTTCTCCTCTGCTGTTTTGCTTCTTGAATTGTACTTAGCAAGCTCATTGGGTTGTGAACAAAAAGTGAGTGACCATGGGCTGTGGGGTGACACCTGAAATACCATGGCCCGGATGGTTCAGTGTCAATGACATTAACTGCCCTGTAGTTACTTCCTCAATACAAAATTAACGGCATGAATTCTCACCTCCAGTGAATGCTCTACTTCCCTGTCGTCTGCACCACCTCTTGTCTGCTGTCTCAGTGAAGTCCCTGCCCGCAGCCACTGACAGCCACTTTGGGAAAGAAATGTACGACTGAGAGACGTCCAGGAAGGATGCCTCCTTCAGTCTATTCTAGATTGCTCTTACAGGCCAGATTTGAGCAAAGATTCACTGCTATTTAGGGTGGGAAAGTGTGCAATAAAAGGGGGAATATTAGTTTTACAAATATGAGAACTTTGGAAAGGAAAGTTTAGGACCAAGTATCACTGGGCATGGGGCTCAACTTTTCAGATGGTTTTTTTAAAATGCTGAAGCTCAGTCTCAGCCCTCTACATACCCACGTGCCCACGCAGCCACACATCCTCTGCACAGGCAGTTCAGCGTCCTTGTCATCTGCTGAGAGTGGCCATTCCTGGGATGGGAGCTCCAACACCAGTAGTGGCGGAAGGCAGTTCCCCCAAAATATTTCACTCTCTGAGCTCTTTAATATAAGTCAGTAGATCTTGTGCTGGCATTGCCAAGGAAGAAACGTTGCCCTTGCTTTATTAGGATAGTTTGGAAATATTGAAAACTAAGGGACATTATGGATGACTAGATGTCACCCATGATATGACACCATTTCCCGAAGAGAGGAATTTCCTAAAGGAGACCTCATTTCTGAAGTTCCCCGTGTTCAGTGACACGCTATTGTGATATGAGTAGTAATAATGATAATAATGACAATGATAATAATGCCAGTAATAGTAACTATGGCAGCCAGCCTTACTGCGCACTGCTGTGTGCCAGGTGCTACCTTAAGTGCCTTACATAGATTTTCTCACTTAATCCTCACAAAAACTCCAGGAAACAAGCAATATGCTTTCTCTTTTACAGGTGGGGAAACAGAAGCTTAGAGGGTTTGAGTAACTTGCTCAAGATCACACAGCTAATACAAATATTAAATAGAAATGTCTGTCTCCCAGCCCAGGCATTCGGACTCCAGATCCTGTACCCTTGACAGCTAGTCTCTCTTGGAAACTCTTCATTTCCATGTTTTACATGATAGTTTCTGTGTTAGAAAGTTCACCACAATGCCAGTGTCTTTGTGATTTATAACAGGCAGATTTTGGAGTTCTAGGACTTAGCCATGCCGAAAGTGGGGACTTTTGGTTTACTCTGTCCTTTTAGCTTTTCCAAGCTTTCCATAAACTTCTGGGTGGGCGTGTGGAGGAAGCCAGGGCCCATGAAAGTGGTGGTCTCCTCTTGTAGATGCAGGACCCCTGGGAATCATAGCGCTATTGCCAAGGTCTGGGAATGCACAGGCGTGCCAAGGATTGTCTGGGAGTTGATGTAAATATACTTCACATAGATGTTCTACCATGGTTCTATGCTTTAAATGTATGTAGATGTTTTGTGTAGTTATTAAAATAGAAATTCCTTCAAAAGTTATGAGTTAATTGTAACTTTTGTCATATAGTGTATGTTTTCTAACCAACAGATACTGAAAGCACAACCACTATCACTTGAAGCCCATAATTCCTCCCACCCATGACTCGTTTGAATAAAAAAGGTATTTTTCTCCTTGGACTGATTAAGGAACCTTTGAAAATGGTCTAGAAATAGCTGAACCTGGCTTCTTTTCTTGAGCTATGCTGCCATCTGCTGGTCCTGAGCTGGTAAATGCCTCACCTTTGAAAACCGGGTGCCTCTTTGGAGAGCCTCCACGGATAAACTGACCTTTTTTTAGTTTCCTTGGGTCATTTCTCCCACCTGCACCAGGACCCCTCTCTGGCTTTAGCCAACTTGGCTGATTTAAACTGTAGATGGAAATTATTTTATTGACAGTCACACGTGGGGGAAAATGACTTCGTGTAAACAGGGCTTCGGACTTCACCCGCGGACTTTGTTGGTAAAGGAAATCCTGTTGAATGAAACCTAAACCTCACCCTGCTATAAAAGCGATCCCTCTGGCTCCAGGAAGAAGCAAAAGCGCACAGATGAGTCTGGCCTGCTCCCAAAGCATCACCTGCAGCCTTCTCGTGCGTTTTATGGGCTACGGGGCCTCTGAGCACCTGTGCAGCTTTTTGCTTTAGAACTTGTGAGTTTTTGGAAAGTACAAGAAAGGCAAAGAATAAGTTCATATTTTGAACCCTGAGCCAAAATGTCAGGCCAGGCTTCCTTTATTGTTACTTAAAAACAGGACAGGCTTTCATCCCAGAGTGTGTATTCACTAATTAATTAATTAGTTAACTTACTCCCTCCTCCTGGGAAGAAATTTCTGCTTGGCAGGGCTTTCATCTGTGAGGGTTAGGATGGGGAAAGGGCGTTATCTGACTTAAACCTCTTGTGTGTAAGGGAGATGCGCCTGATTTCTGTCTCTGATAGGTCGTGACCCAGGAAGTAATGTCCTAATCCTGGGGTTTCCTCACAGCTGACAGGAAGTTGATGGTGTGTTCTCCTTAGGTTTGGACACTCAAATGGGAATGTGTAACCATTGACGCAGATGATTTGCCAGTGAAGAATAGGAGAAAAGTCCCTCGAGTTCTCATTAAACGTCAGAGGTGAATAGCTCAAAATGAAAATGAAGTTCACAAGATTTAGCTGTAAAATGAGGTATGTAGTACAGCAGAGGGCAGGGAGAGCAGAGAGAAAGAAAGCCAACGTGCAACTAGAAAAGAGGAGGTCGGTTGCACGCATCACGCTGAAATGTTACCCTCACCGCTAAGCCTCCTGTTAGAGGGCATCAGTAAGAGTTTTCTTCCTGTGCAGTGGGACCGTTTCAGTGCAGTATGTTCTTTGATGATGTCCATGGAGGGCAGTGGAAACGCGCCTTCTGGCCTCTAGATCTGGGAGCGTAGCCAGGGCTGCTTTCCAGCCTTCACCGGTCAGTAACTAGCTGAGCCAGCCTGGGCAAACCCCCGACCTGTCTGAGCCTTGGATCCCACATCTGAAAGTGGTAATATTGGTATATGATGTATAGCACGTTTCAGAGGTAGCAAAATTTCTCAGTAAAGCTTTGCAGCTCACTGTAGGTCCTGCACAGTTCTTGTGGAGTGTCTTCCTGGGTATTTTATACTTTGGCCACTGAAAAGGGGGTCACCTTTCTCCTGTCATACATTTGCATATGTTGTAGCAAATAAATGGGAATCCTATTGATTTTGGGATGTTTATTTTGTATCCAACTGAGCTCTTTGATTAGTCCTAACAGTTTTCCTCTTGTTATTGTTATAGAATCCTGTCATCTGCTTTGGCCCCTTTCTTCTCTTTCTTTCCCATTGTGAAATATTTCAAATATGCAGAGAATAGAGAAAAATACAAACAACCCTATTTAGAGTGCCTAGTTTTATGAAATTATAGACGATGCTACATTTACTTCAGATTTTAAAATAGATTAAGCATTATTCATTGTGTTTGTAACTCTTCTTGATACTCTTCATTCTTCTTCCTCCCCAGGGGACACGATCACCTTTGTCATAAGTTTGCAGCTTTATGTTCATGCACGTTCTTATACTTTTTGCATATGCTTATATATCTGTAAACATTGTACAGTAGTCTTTTGCATGTTTCACATTTTAAATAAACATCCTGCTATATTATATGTGTAAGTATATAATTATTATACTGTAAATTATGCAACTTGTTTTTTGTATAAAATTAGGATTTCGAGAATTCTCTGTGTTGATTAACATAGCTACATAACTCGATTTCATGTAATTTAAATTTCATTATATGAACATTTCATAATGTATTCATCTGTTCTCCTTTTGATGAGCATTTAAGTAGTTGGCAATTTTTTTTTTTTTGGTGTTACAAATAATGCTGCAAAAAGTGTTCTTAGGAAAGAATTTTTCTAGCCTACATACCTGAAAGTGGAATTGCTGTGTGGAAGGGAGCAAGCATTATTTTCCAAAGGGGTTGCATTAATTTGCACTCTTACTAGTAGTATGTGGTCTATATTTAGCTTATACTGTTCTTGTTCAACTTTGGTATGAAGGTTATATCCTCTTTTTCTTTCCTCTAAAACAAATTATGTAACACAGGGATTGTCAATTTTTTGAAGTTTTGGTAAAA